TTATTTATATATATATTTAATCATTAATAAACAAAACTTTAAGTTCAGTAAATTTTCGATTGTTAACATCTTGTTGTATAGAGAATATCAAATAATAAACAATTTTTAAGAGATTTACCCCCATTTTTAGTTCAGTTTGTCTTATTTATCTATTTGTAATAGCATTGTTTACAAATAAATTTATATGTTATTTACAAATTGTCCAATAGAAAACAATATAGGAAAATATCAAATATTTAATTCATTTTTTATTTTATTACAATGATATTACTCATACACAACAAAACGGTAATAAAACTATTGGAAAAACAATTTTTTTACTATTTTTCTATTGAACAAGTTGTAAGTAAGTAACTTTTGTTTTGATATTTAATTTTTTAAGCCATATTCTGAAATTCATAAATTTCATGTATTTATATATTAATTGAACTGTTGTATACAACATTACTGTGTAATTTCTGAAGGTTATAAATATCAATTTATAAATCTTTCATAAAAAGCCAATATAACTACATTATTAGGGAAAAAAACAAGAAGAGAGAACTTTATTATTTCTTTCCTGTGTTTGATAATGATACTCAATAAGATCCTTCTGGATATTTTATCATGTGTTACAAACACAACAACCTTCAAAACCAAATTTCTAATGTAACATCACAGCGTGAAAAGCTCGATTAAATATTGCATAAATACAGAAGGATCTTAATATATTTTCAGAATGAAAATTTTAAAATAATCAAATATAACTTTACATATTGAAGGTGGGGAGGAAAATATACTTGCAATAAGTCTTAGTATAACTTATGTATTACGTATTTTTCCAGGTACGTAGTTCTTGTCTATTACAGGTTCTTGAAGAAACATATGTAAACACCGTTCATTCTGTGCTAATGGATGTCCTGCTATTCTGAAATAATATGTGTGATTTTAATTTAATTGAACAAATTTTACTATATCCTACATAGTAAAAATGAATAGATTTAAAACTTTTACACTACACTGCAAACTGCTTTAACATACTTACTTATTAACAAATGCTTCTAAACCTTTTCTTCTGTCTTCAATAAAATCTTCTTCAAAAATACCATCATCACCTCGAAAAGGCATTTGACGTTTCCAAGCTTTTCCTGGTAGTGGAGGCACTACTATCTATAAGTTTGCAATAAATAAAAATAGATCAATTTCCTAGCATTACTATAAAATGCCAATCTTATTCATTTAAAGAAATAAAGTTAGTATATTTAAAGAAATTAATTTATTTTCATTTTCTATATTTAGTTTATTTACTGACCTTGCTATCTCTTTCTAATTCAGTCCTCAACCACTCAAAATCACTATATCTTCTTCTTACAGTAGAATCTTTGACTTTGAAAACTGGAAGATTTGTCTGAAATGAAGATTCATTACTTTATAACATTTGGTATGTAAAATATATTATAATATAACAACTATTATTCACCAAATTTTAGGAGGTGATTCATGCATATTAATTTAAGATCAATAAATGGCTTCAGTAGCATGGATATTTTTGTATCTACTCATTTTTATCATTAAAAGTAAGATAACAGACACAGCCCATGATACATTTGGTTAATGTCTATAAGAAAAATGTAATTACTACTATCAACGTTATTATTATTTGTTTCATCAAGAAACATATTTAATACCGACAAATATGTTATAAAAATTTTAATTTTATTTTGACAAACTTTCATAAATTATTATAAAAGATCAAAATTAACGTGATTGTATGTAAGTATTGACAGCAACGCTGAATTTTTTATACAAGGAAAAGTATGAAGTATAAGAAAGCTTACACTTTTATAAAATTAGCGAATGAACACGACTTAATTAAATTTTGAATGCAGAAATCTATGAAGTTTATCTAGCCTGACAAAAGTACGCGATCTTAGGTTGCGTATAAGTGGCGAAAAGAAATTTGGTAATCAGAGTATAAAGATGCTCATTGATCATTTATTAATAAACGAACATAAGTTTAAAACAAAAGCGGTTATTACTTACCCTCATACGAACTTCATAATCAGTGTACCGTTTCTTGCCGACGCCGTGTGTGATTGGATTAATCACGTCAATTTCCAGAAAATTTGCAGGCGCTGCATAAGCGTCATCCAAAGTTTGTTTTTTAACATTTAAACGGCGTGTTGCTTCCGCTGTCGTATCCGCCATACCTTCCAAGTATAAATTAATTAAACAGCTTAAAAGCCACCTAGAAAACAAATCCGGTACAGTGGATAACGAAAGTTCGTCAAATGACAGCGGTGAGAAACTTGACACAATTTGTTCTCATATGTTATGTCTGTGGTCATGGTGCAGGGAAATGGAGATAGAGTGGAAACTTATTGACTAATCGAGAAACTTGCACTACGTCCTCGATAAAATAAAATTATTAATATCCAATACTTTCATTGTGTTTGTATTTTGAGAATTTTAATTACATTTTGTAATTCTCTTTTGATAATATTAGCAATAACGTAAGATTGCTTTGAATAAATAAATATATTCAGCTGCAACGATATATAATGATCTTTACCGATACAATGCACACGTGCTAACTAGAAATTATACGTTGACTCTAGTTATTATACGTTTTATGAAATAAACGATGCTATTTAAAAATATTTAAAAATTGAGTACATATCAGTCCCTGGAGTTACGAGTAATGCGTAGATAATAAAATGGATATAGATGCGTTAAAATAAAACATATTTCCAAAAAGAACAATATTAATTGCATAATTTTATTTATAAAAATATAGCTGTAAAAGTAAAAGACAAAACGGCCTTTCAGTACATTATGTATAGGTGGAACAATGGCATATACATAATTAAGAAATCGCATAGTGACACATACTTGATTATGATTAATCGTTGAAAGTTTTAAACGATAAATCATAGTAAGAAACTCACTTATGCAAGTGAGATATGTCGAGACATCTACTCTCACTAATGAAAATCTACTGAATATCTGCAGACGATAATTTTCGTAAGAGCCATCAATTCGTAAAGTACACTTATTAATCAAAAACACCGAAACACTGTATTCAAATGTTTAAAGCAACAATCTTTATTGCATAAAACAGACCTTATTACTTTCAACACTGTTACACATGTGTCATATCTAACAAAAATTTTCTCAGATGATGACATAACATTTTGATATTTTACGATGATACATGTAATCGATAAGTGGCAGTGTTTTCACACTATGAGATGTGAAACATTTGCTGTGTAAGCGACCGGCGATAATCTGATATCATCTGTACGTGGAATTGGTCGTTGACGAATGTCACTGTCCCCCGGCCATGCTCGACCAGGACTTCGCGGTGCGACGTTCGATCTAGCTACTGTATCGACCGCTAAACTCACAGTCGTAGGATCGTTTAGCCCATTGCTTTGGATTCTCCTTTGGGCGGCTATCGAAGCTCGCAGTGTCTTGCGTTTCTGCATTTGAAAAATCAGAAAATTAAATTAGTAGAATAAACCAGGTGTCTTGAACGAGATCGCATTCATTTCCTTGCTTGGACTAATGCTATTAAATTTACATTACAATATATGAATCGTATCGAAACGTAACTATGATAATATTCTGCGTGTCTAATGGTAGCTTAACCTTTACGCAGCGCACGTTTCAAACTAAAGGTACATTTCTCAAGAACACGTGTATAGACGCCTTTGCGGGAAGAAGGTTAATGGTGTCTGAAGCGTATTAATTATTATCAATATAAAGAAGCCAAATTTATAGATACTCGATGCTGTGTATAGAAGAAGCAATTTTAGCGTGAAATACGACGTAAGATTCTTTGTGTATCGTATTTCATACCAGCTTTATCGTAAGCGCAAAAATCGAATTTTTATTGCCGTAACTAGAGATACTTGTTGCTAAAGCTTGCGAAGCGTGTGAATCTTTGTGCTTTCATCTATAATGTATGTGTTTATTTGTTTGGCGATCGTGTTTCTTTTTGTTACGAGGTCTGTTAGAATTCCCTGCGTTGCTCCCCTACTTCGTCCTGGCTGCTTGCGATTTACTGATAAACATAGAATTCTGAGGAAAGGACAACGAAAGATATCGCACGAAAGACGTACGATTCCAGCGGAGGATCTACGTTCAATTTCGTCTTTACCTCGATCGCTCCCCTCCATTTGTCGGCCGCGTGTCTCGCTAGTTCCATCTTTTTTTGCTTGCGAATTTGATGCTTTTTATAAGCCACTTCGATAATGATCAACCCTATACCACCGATAATTCCAACCCCGACCACTATGAAAACACCAGCCATATTTTTCAGCCCTAAAGTGTTCGGTGTATTTTCAGATTGTTCACATTGCTGTCTATTGTCTTGAAGGATCCAGTGGTCGTCGAGACTTTCCATAAAACCATCTAAAAGTAATGGTACATTGTTAGAATTTTAATCCTTTTATTAAAATGATAAATATATATTATATGTATATTAAATTCTTACTTTCATGGAAATCCAAAATAGCGAGGGTTACAGCATCCGCCCATAAAGAGCCTTTTTGCAAACCAATTCCGTAACCAGAACGACCGAACAATTCACCAGCAGTTACCAATTCACAATCCTGAGCAGCCTCGAATTCCAAGCGAGAGCTGTCCCATATAAAAGCCATAAGTTTCCTACAAACAGAAAATTATCCTTGGAACCTTCAATTCCTAAGTGAGAAAATTTTTATTTTACTATAACAGGCGAAAATTTGTTCCAATTTTCTTTACCCAATTTTAATGTCTCTGATAGCTTCCTCGGCAGTGTCGTAATTATTTGCTTCCATTGTGCGATACATATTGGACAGTTCAACCTGTCGACGGAAGTACATGTCCACAGCGGAGCCCTTCACTGTGGCGCACGTAAGGTTCTCCATGGTGTTTCTGAGCTACAATCGAGTACGTTAAATTTTTCAGGTCGTTCGACATATCCTTGCTACCTTGAATAAAATCAATACCAACAGCGGTAGCAATGGTAGTGATAGCGATGGTCGATATATGAATAAAACGCAAACATTTGCATGCTTATTTTCAATCGTATCTTTAAATATCACTCTATACTTACTCGAGCATCGTTAATGCCAGTCAATTTAGTTTTTGGCCGTTCCAACACCAGGAAAGCGGCCAGATTGGCAGTGTAAGAGGCAACGATAATCATCGCGAATCCTGCCCATACCATACCCAACACTCGAGCAGAAAAACTCCGTGGAGTACCTATTAGAATAGAATATTATTTTATAAAATGTTGCTGAAACTCTCATTTATAGAGATCGAAGTATTTTTACGCAACTACGTTTCCGCCAGCGGTTAATCGATTTAATAATGCCTCACTTAGCAAAAGAGTACTATAGTGCTGGCTATAAATACATTCCTTAAAGGTTCAATGTTAATGATCATTGACCATAATGTATACTTTCTAAGGTGACGAAGTTTTCATTTCTCTTTTTTTATATATTTTTAAATTATTATTTCACAAGAAAATGTTGAACCTTCTCCGATTCCACTGTTGAGCAGAACTCCCCAGGCGAACCAGACGGCGCTGGACAGGTTCAGGGCATCCTCTTCGGTACCGTCAGTGTTTGCTAGCTTGAACCTCCCGAAAGGCGAGAACCGGTCGAGGAGGTACAGAACTAGAGCCACTACGTGCACCGACACCATCACCAGTATCCACAGGGTGTTGCTGAACGGTTGCAAGAACGACACCAGGGTCGAGGATCTTGATGGCTATAGAAATAATCACGTTAACACGTTCATTATCCAAGAAATACGAGTACAAAGTTAACTGTAGTTCAATAGATAGTGAAATTTTTAAATAATTTCTTTACAAATTAAATTATCGATAATGAGATCATTACAAATTAGGCACTCGAAGACGTACCTTTTTCTCAAGAATGGTAATTCCCTGATACTTAAAAGGCTTGCTAAACTCGATGAACTCGGCGCGTTCCGGATTGATCGTCAGAGGAGCGACAATCATATCTGCTCTCTCGTTTACCAGCTCTCCGATCAGTCCAGTCCATTCTTTTTTTCCTCCAACTATAATGAAATGAGCTAAGTCCAGATCATTTTTACACTAAGGTGTATTCTCATCTACTAGGTGATCTTACATCTACGACTGTTCTACCATGCTTCTACTGTCGCACCTGAACTGTTCTTGATCATATAGCTGCCGAATTGTCCATCGGGGGACAGAGCCAAACTGTAGGTGAAATTGATGGCCTTGGACAGCTCTTTCAACAAGTCTATGCAGTACCCTTTGCAACAGAACATCTTCGTAGCTGCAAATGTTCGAAACACTTCATTAACCAGGAAGAAATACACGCTGTTTTATCATAACATTTTCTGAACGCGTACTTTCTTGTTCGGTGATGTTAAAATGGGGACAGAAAATCTCTTCTGGAAGACAGAGTTCACCGTCTGCAATCTCGCGGACGTAGACGAACGGCTTCTCCTCGATTGTGAGCACTTTTAAGTGCGTAGGAATCATGAAACCCTCTGGTTTTGTTTGCAATCGGCCAGGCCATGTTATGTTCGACTCATTCACGCTCAGCGTCATTTTGGTACCATTCTACGGCACAATAGGAATGTTAATACTAAAGAATTAAAGGTCCTCGTATACCATTTACTATTTATATTAAATTCTTTAACGTAGTTCTTAGTTAATGTTAAACCCTTTGAGGTAATCTTTAGAAAGAGCAAAGGTATTATTGTCACTTCGTCAGTTGCTACTTGAAAAACATCCTTCTTTTAATGTCACTTACAGCCGGGTAAAAGTACTGTCCAACGGAGACTCGATTACCATTCTCCTTAATATTGATGATGTCATATTCCGCATAAATGCGATCTCCATTGTCGTCGAACGCTACTTTACCCGTTGCACCGTCCGATAGTACTTGTTCACGGATGTATCTAAACCAGTAAAACTCGTGATAACACATTACCACTTATATCGTATCTTAAGAAAGTAGTAATGTATACTTGAATAAACTCTTGCCGGTTTCCCATATGGATCCAGAATCACCGCAGTCCTTTGGCGCCTCCGTGATCACATTCGTCTTGTTCATCTCCCGTAAAGCGGATACGAGTACTATCCTGAAATGTGCATGTTGTTAGACTACAATTTTATAAAAAATTGCAATGTTTAAATATACATATGTGAACATATATATATATTAAGTATAATTTTCAAACGAAAGATTCTTCAGATATCTAAACGTTCTTTACGAACGTTCAAGTCTACCGTTTTCATTGAAGACACTTGTTACTCCAGTCGAGCATACATTCAACTACTAGTTTATCTGAAATGGTTAATGGGTTGTTTGTTTCACACAGATAGAAAGACATAGAGTGAGTAACGTTACTCGTACACACATATCCTAACGTTCAAAGCACAGCGTTTCGCTGAACGATACGGAATATCCATTGGACAGATTGGAGGGTGTGCTAAGAAGAGAGTATGTGATCCGGTGATCTGAAATCAGTTGTACATTGCCGTGAAATCAGGGTGCATGTTCCTGTGCGTTGTTTATGCATGCGATTGTATCTCAACAGTTCTACATCAGAGAGAAAGAGAGAGAGAGAGAGAAAGATAGAGATAGAGAGAAATAGTCAAACGAGAAGAGAAAAGAATGTTATTTCTTTTTTTTTCTTTCTGTGAAGTATTATTACGAGATTATCCATTCGTTTTGTTCTAGGTCTTCTCATGCATAAAAGCATTCGAGTGTTCCATTGTATTCTATCATTTTGCTTTTTTTTTGTTTTTCTTTTCAGTGGTAATACACCAAGCTACGGACGCAACATACATGCGTGGGGACGGTCTATGTACGATTAGAAAGGAACTGACAGGCTATCCTCGATGTGAGCCTCCTCTTTCTCCGCGTTAATTAATTTCAAGCCGAGAAGACCTTCCGGTGCGTTCGGCGCATCTAAGGCTTGCTCCGTCACGATCCAAACGTATCCTGCGCCGGTCATGTTCAACGCTGCTGCGTCTTGGAAGATCACATTCGCATCTGTTTTTCTATCAACACACACGAAAGCAGAGAAATTTTTATGTTTTCATTACCCCATATTGTTTATAACACGATTATACGATCTTTTATAATATACAAACGTATAAACTTTTTTTTTTCGATTTCTAATAGGTAATTAAAAAGAAAGAAATTATCGATTGATCGAGACTCACGAGGCGTACAAGAGACAGACTCTGGCCTGTGCGGTCTTCATGTCCATTAGCTGTTGCGTGAAACTATCAAGACCAGGTTCAAATTCTATCACAGACTCTACCTGTTCGTTTAAAACGATTAGACAAATAAAATGACAATATTAGTTTAATTGTATCATCCTTCTAACAGGATTTTATAAGATATACCTGAACCTTGATCTCCACATCATCCTCTAAGTTCTGTGAAGTCGTCTGAAACCTTCCAAGCAACGCGCGACCATCCGTGTCCGAACTATGGATGAAGATCACTTTCATATAGTTGAAATGTTTCAACAATTCGACCCATACGTCCGCCTGATGTGAGTACGGCGGTATCGTTCGTAAAAAGGAAACGTGGATATTCTGAAAGAGGAGGAAACTTCAAATCTTACCATCGTAGTGTATAGAACAATGTTTCGAGTTATCGCAGTTTCGAGTATAGTCTAAGTACGCTATATACATGTTTAACGTAACACATAATAATACCGATAATGTGATACTGACGTAAGAAGTATTACGGGCAATCTTATTTGTACAAAAACCCCTGGCTAACTACAATTTAGACGCAGTGAATAAGGATGGAAACTAGAGAGATCTTTTTTCCTTCGAGAAACGATTTGCATTACGTTCCATGTTAAATATCTTTAACGATTTATATTTTTATATTATATACATGGTTAAAAAAAAAAAATGTAGAAAGGAAATTATGATAGGATTACATTGCTTTCATTTAACCCTTGTGTGGAAAATCAATATATTCACGGTTGTTTCAAGCTTTCAAATTTCAAATTTTTTGTATACATTTTTATTTCAGAAACGTGTATCGAAGTAAAAATGTCCAAAAAAATGGGGTTCCGGAGTGGTTTTACGATACTTTCAAAAGAACATAAAAAATTATTAAAGGAAATATAGAAACAACCAACTGTGAGAAATTTTATATACTTCGATGGGATGAAATAATTCATTTTTGTATAATCGATTCAGCGGATCGACTCACTTTGTCGGAGAACGCTGAATCCCTCGAAGATATACCTATAACTGGTATATGATAAAATCCACTTGTGTAAGAAACAGCGGCTGGCGACAGATCTCCTGTAAGAGGATGAGACACCACCACCGCGTACACTTTTTTCGCTATCAAAGAATTGCAAACGCTCAACGCCGTCTTAATTGGGTTGGAATCCATTTCGATCACTGTGTGCATATAGGTCACTCCCTTGTGGACATATTTCGAGTTGAAGTTCAGAGTCTGGAAAACCGGGGCAAAGGAGGAATTAACGATGAGTAAAACTTCTTTGTACAATGTTATCCATCTCTATAGCCACACTCCGGGTGGGTGATTAAACGTTCGACCTTTTACAGGGGCAAAAACGATCGAATTCCGTTTTGAATTTAAACTTGATATCTCTGAATCACGAGGAGTTCATTTCGATGGAGAGTCAACGGGATTCTAACGAATTGATGTAGATTTTAACGGAATTGGTGAAACGAAACTAAAGAAGTTTCTCAAGTTTGTTAATTACAAGGGGATTTAATCTGTTTGGAGATTTTTCTTGCATACTCACGTTCAGTGTCTTTTTGAAATACTCTTTGCTCTCGTTATTGGAAAACACGCCGCCGATCATAAAGAAGGTGGGATTGTTGAATTGGCTCGCGACGAGTCCATTGTACACCTCATCGTTCAGGACAATCAGGAAAATGAACAATGCGGCACCTTCGTATTTCATTATTACGTAATTGGATCTGCGATGAAAAAAACTGGATTTCAAGGGCGCCTCATTCAATGTAGTCGGAACATAACAAAAACCTTGTGCCATGGAACTGTGTTTTAAAAGGATCAAGAATAAGTACACGAATTTTTTTTAATAGAATACTTAACTATATAATTTCCATAATTAATCACATTGATAAAAAAAAAACAAAAAACAAAGAAGAATTCAACGAATTTACAAAAAGAAGAAACAGAAATATCAACTGCATGTTTATCTTCAGGATCAGTTTATCTTCAAGGACGATCTCTCAAGGATGAAGTTCTGAACGTACCGATCAATCTACAGTCGCTGTATATCAGTTCACGAAATTTTTTGGGACGTACGAATCGTCCTTCGATTCATCTGAACACCGTTCACGCCCTTATCTGAGTGCTCGATGAACGGACCCAGCGTTAACGTCGAACGCGAAGGTGGATCTGAGAGACAGAAGTCCGCGGCTCATTGATCCGTTCGGATGCTGCGCACAGACTTCGTCCCCACTATTCCCGATTTTAGGGTGTTTTCGTGTTTTTCCGCTGGTCCTTCAATTTCCTTTGCGAACCTTTACATAATCTGCCCCTCCCTTATTGTTTCAACCCCTTACCCCTTGTGTTATCTCTATCCGATTCGCAGAATCGATCGATCGAAAAGCAACTTTTTACATTTAAACATTAAAAACTTCTTACGATATACGTATATGTTACCAGCAAAGTGTAAAGTGTAACGATTTAAAGATATCGTTCGATACCATGCTTAGGCGATGTATGCATTGCTGGTAACATATATACACATCTAATCCTGGCTAAATGGAACAATTAGAGTAATAATGACTGAAACCAAACGGTAATTCGATTCTAATTTAATCCTCTTTATTCAGGGAACTCATCGATACATAATAGGAGGATACAGTAACAGCTCGTGATGTCTCCAGCTTATAGCAATTCCTCCCTGGCTGCGAATAATTTTCGTCCATGGCCTTCGACGTTTCGAGGCAAGAGGGATTACGAGCGTTGGCCAGGCGACTAGAAAAGTGGGTCGACCGACAGGACAATAAACCGATAGGCCTGCACAGTATTGTTTCCAAGCCACGTGGTGGCGAGGAGACCGCGAGATGCCAGTGCGTCAGTTGTGGCCGCATATCGATCCTGTAAGTTTCCACTCGGTGGCGACCTCCTCTGCGTGCGCACCCCTTTCATCTCGGTTATTTACCAAGCACCCTTAGACCGAATCAGGAGAACCTTGGGGAACGTGTAAATGGTGAGAAGAGGAAAGTCGACGGCAGATAACGTCGAGAGAAAGTCGAGAGAAAAGGGGTGGACTAGCTGGCTTCCTGAAGCTGCGTGATATTCTCACGATCATTTCGAGAACGTGCTGGTTCAAACGATTGGATTAGCAGAGAGAGAAACTCGGGAGGTAGGAACGGAAACGTCGGGAACGATTTTAGAGCGGAAGGTAGTAGGAAATATATAGAGTAAAACGACCTCGAGACGTAAAAAGCGAGAAAGCGAGCGAGAGAGAGAGAGAGAGCGAGAGAGGGAGAGAAAGAGAGGTGTTACATAGATAGACAGATAGAGAGGGTGAACTGATAAACTATAAAAGGCAAAAAGGGGTAGAAAAATTTTACAAAAATCAGAGAGAGAAAAAAAAACGAAGATCGAAAGGAGGAAGGGGTGCATCAGGTGATAGAAGACAGTTTGCGGAGTGAAGCAAACGAAAGAGAGGCAAAGTACACGTAACTCCAATGTATTACGGTCCCCCTCGCGCGAACGAAGCCACGGAAATATGTCGTTACCACGAGAATGGAGCCTGCAGGATTCGGTTGAGCGTGACGCTGTCGCCTGTGCGACAGCGTCGCAGGAGATGGTCGGTACGACCGTCATCGACGAGAATATGAATCAACAGAACCAGCTGGGCTCCCTGTTGTCGATCCATTCGGCCCCGGTGTTCGATTTGAGCACCGGTGTACCGTCACCGAAGAGGCCAGCTTCGTTGGCCGTTCAGGCGACGGCTACGTCGACACCGATCGTGCCACCACATCTACAGAGTCCAGAAACTATCGAGGACGAGGATAACGATAACCTCCTAACAATATCGAGCCTCACCGCTAGACCGTTGATAGCAAAGTCTCGTGAGCTACGTTCAACTAAAAGTTCTGTAACGAAGAAGAAGAAACCGAAGAAAAACGAGACGAAGAGATTGAGAAACACCACGCATCTTCCATTAGACGGTGGTTACGGATGGGTGGTGGTTTTCGGAGCGTTTTTCGTTCAATTTTGGGTGGCTGGCCTGATGAAGTCCTACGGGGTGTTGTACGTTGAAGTGATGGAGACGTTCAAGGATTCCTCAGCGGCGGTCGCGTCTTGGATACCAGCTATTTTATCCTGTCTTTGTCTCGCTCTTGGTGAGTAATTGCCCTGGGTACCCTAACGTGAAAAATCGATCGTACGAAGGTTCCCCGGAAGCTTGGTCGATTCTTGAGAGAACGACCGATATAGACATAATTTTTTCTCTTCTCGGTATTTCCGTTGTTCTTTTATAATTAACGAATGTGAATGATCTATATACAGCTCCTGTGACGAGTATGCTGTGCCAGAAGTACAGCTGTCGAGCAGTCGTGTTCGTCGGAGGATTATTCTGTGCTTTAGGACTAACGATAAGTTTCTTTGCCACGAGCTTGATACATCTCTTTTTTACATTCGGAGTTTTGACAGGTTCGTTTCGGAGTCTGTATTATTCTAGCATATCTCACTGATCGTAATCTTATCATGCTTCTCGATCGTGCGTTCGTCTCATCGTGTACATATACATATATGTATATATATATTATAGCTTATCAACTTCTGTCGTTTGGTTACGTAAGAGTCTGTAGATACAGCACCAGAGTGAAAGCAAATGAGAATAACGATACGAACGAACAATTCGAATTGTTGAATTATCATTGTAATCCCGAATCAACGCTCATTTGAACTTGAGATATTTTCAAATTTTGTTAACTAATCTAATTACGAATGGAACAATATTTCAGGTATCGGTGGTGGTCTATCGACTACACCGGGTATCATTCTCGTCTCCCAATATTTCGACAAGCATCGCGCGCTAGCGAACGGGATATGCGTGTCCGGAACAGCAGCTGGCAGCTTCATGTTCCCGCTTTTGATCAAGGTCCTGGTGGAGACTTTTGGCTTCCACGGTACCATCCTTTTACTGGGCGGTTGTATGCTTCACGTGTGCGTGAGCGCGACCCTCTACCGGCCATTGGAGAACAATTACGCGCCGAATGTGTTAACGGATAAAGCGGAAAAGGTCGAGAGAACGACAAAGGAATTAGAATCGTCGAAACAACAGAAGTTAGAGTTAATATTCGCCAACGACTCGACTGCGAAGCATAATCTGTTGAACGAATTATTTCATCAGAATAGTGTGGTGGCGGTCGAGCTGACCGACAGCGACGAGGAGAAGGACGTGATGGGTGAGGGTCTCCGTATGAAGCCAATCTCGAAGATACGTAGCTCGAGCATACTGCACAGCGTCGAGGATCTGTCGACCGATTCTACGTGCGTGTATAAGGCCAGGTCGTCGCTAAGATCGTCGGTCACTGCCGTATGTCCAGTTCCTCCGAACGAACCACAAGTGCCGGAAGAGAAAATGACACTGATGCAGAAAATAGCGCAGTACATCGACCTGTCTCTATTGAAGGATCCTCAATTCATCATGATGTGCTTTTCCGTCAGCTTGATGTCCACCGGAAGCCCTTACATGCTCTACTATCTTCCGGCATACGTGCACGCGGCCGGTTACACCAAGTCTGAAGCTGGATATTTTGTGGCTATTTCTGCAGCGCTTGATTTGTGCGGTAGATTGGGACTTGGATGGCTTTCGGACTTGAAGCTGTTTGATCGACGGAAAGGATACATTGGAAGGTATATTTGTCTTTTTTTTAATGGAACTAAAAGATAAATATAACAAAGAAAGATATTATTATTATTATAAAAAATATGATTGTTTATTAAACAGTGTTGTGGGTGCTGGTGTAGCAGTACTGACAATTCCAATGGCCCATTCTTTCTACGTACTGGCATGTTCCGTTGGTATGTACGGACTATGCCTGGGCTGTTGGTTTCTCTTGGTTCCCGTCCTTCTCGCAGACCAATACGGAACTGACAAAATATCCTCCACTTATGGTCTTGTTAGGATGTTCCAAAGTGTCGGAGCTATTTCTATTCCGCCTTTAGCAGGTATGCAATTATCTAAACTTTGGAGTATTTAGATGCGTTGAAATATTAATTACGATTGAATTAATAAGCTTGAAGACACTCAATTCTGCATGATAGTCGCCGAGGTATTGTTCTATTTATTTAAGGAGTAATCAGTGTCAACTGGATTCACATTTCTAAACACGATTTCAGGTTACCTGCGCGATGTAACAGGAAGTTACACCGTATGTTTTCTGTGCATGGGCACGTGCATGGTCATGGGAGGTCTACCTCTACTCTTGGTTTTTAACGAAGTATCGAAATCATCGAAGATGACTGTTAATAATGAGAACAGTAACCGTCAAGGAGAGATGACTGCAAAAGAATAAGAATATTTTGCGAATGTGATTGAATGTGTAATAGAAACCTAATAAATCGCAACATTTGTCGCTACAATTATTCCACTATGATGTATTGCTTGGTTCAGTGTATTCGAAAACGTTTACATAAATACCTGGTTCGCGGCAGGTAAGGGTAATTTTCATAAATTTTTATAAATGCACGTCTCTCGTTTTATTGGTAAATGACACTTCTCATTTACACGTTTTACATTCAAAGTAAAAACAAATAGTATAGGACAAAGATTGTGTTGTACATGTACATATATATACATACACACTGTAAAGAACTGCTTCTAAAAATGAAACTGGCTTACAGTTGTAATTTTTGCCTTATACATTACATAAACACTATGTACATTGTATTTACATGTTACATTATGATTATTTGTAGAAAAGAAGAAGTGCGGCAGGTCCTGCGACGAAAGAAACAATCTTAGTAGGAAATACATATTTTTCATACAAACAGATGTAATTAAACACAGCGATCTTTAATAAAAGTTATATTCTTTACACTTATATGGTCTTAATGTCTCTATGTGAAAGATAATCCAGCATTATAAATCAATGCTTAAAAAACTTTACAAATCTTAAAATGACCATAAAAAATAAAGTATAAACTTTTTTTATCACAAATTATATATAATTTGTATAAATTCATGCTATTAATTCATGCATAACATTATATAATACTATTTTCATTTTTCATGATGCAATGAATAGATAGCATTTTAAACATATTTCAATATCTATATAAAATGATTATATTTTACTAAAAATGGACGCTAATATTTCTTATGATAGGAAATATATTAGAATATAGAAAATTTATGTTGGTTTCCAGGCTACAACTCTCATTTTGTTATTTAATTCTTGCAGTATCAAAGAGCATGTGAGTTGTTTCTCAGGAGACAAACCATTGATTCCTTCCATTTCATCATCATCATCTCCTATTCCATTACTACTTCCACTTTTGCCTTTACCCTTTGCTTTTCGTTTCTTCTTTTTGTTTAATTGTCTGCAGTCTATATCACTAGCAGTATCTGTTGCTTTCCTGATCTATGACAATTGAAGCCTTTTATACATCTTAATTACTTGAATATTTGTATTTGTATACCTTAATATAAAATAGCTTACTTTAGCACTTTTTTTTGACTGCTTATCATACTCTAATGCATCATAATAATTTGGTTTCTCTCGTTTGATTCGATTAGTTCTTCTAGTTTTCATTACCCCATTGTCAGGACTAGGAGGACTTTTGATAGAATTACGCCTTGCATTAAAAAATGAATGCCCACATGGACATGCTTTGCAGGCTACAGGTACCTTAATAAATAAATATGTAAAATTAATATACAAAAAATGTAAAATA